TGTCGCTGTAGCTGTCACTGCCTGTTGACTGTAGTTGACTGTTGGCTGACGGCGTTTACGTCAGAGTTACAAACTGTGCTTATTTAAGAAATCTAAAGCTAAAGCAGAGCAGAGTATATATTATATGCATACTTATCTACTTGTAATATAAATTCAGACAACTAACTGTGTTCCTCTTCAATTGCACACCGTGTACGATTGATAAGATCGTCGATAAAAATGAAAAAACGAGCATTACAAAATGAAATATCTCCGAATTTTAAAGAAACAGCCAACGAAATGTTTGCTTTTCCATAAGTGAAAATTTTTTTTATTGTCTGAGAGTGGCTTATTTACTATGTTCTTGTGCTCCAGTGTCAGTGTATGTGAACGGAGGAGAGATGAGTCTGTGTTTGTGTGTGTGGATGCCTCTGTGTGTTTGCGTTAAAGCTTTTTGCTCTCAGAGCAAGAACTGAACGAAAAAGTGCGCTCGCAACAGTAACTATTAAATTTAAACAGATTTAACTACTGCGATTAAACTATTTACATACATTTGTATGTGTGCATAAAATAAAACGAAAATTTCTAATGAATCATAAATAAAGAGAGCAAGACGAGAGCGCAGCCAAACGTGACGCGGTCACAGAACGCAGAGTGTGTGTGGGACAGAGAGAGGGAAAGGGAGTTTCTCGTTACTGAACTTGTGCAACAATCGTCTTGCTGAGCGCGAACGCGAACGTGAGCGTAAGCCGACGTAGACGTCTTTAGCAAATACCAAATACACATGCATGTGTACATGCATACATAGTACAAATGAACTTATATGCATTGGTTGCGATAGCAGTTACTTTTGCACAGGTGTATGTGAGCATCAGTGTTTGTGTACGCGTGTGTGTGTACTGCTGTGTACGCTCTCACTCTCCATCTTTTACGCTCTCACAATTTGTCGCTCTTTCTCGCACTCTGCTGCGTAGAAGTGAGTTTCTTTCAGTGTCACCAAACTCAGATTAGCTCTTGTCTATGAGTTGGCTTTTGTCGTAAATATTACGTTCGCTTTCGCACTCGCCATATGTGTACATACGTACATACATATTTGTAACTATATATACATATACAAATACATATATAAACAATCGTGCATTAGTAGTGTAAGTCTCTGAGTGTGTGTCTTTTCGAGGTTTTAATGCGCAGCAACAGCGACTTGTTGAATTAAATATAAGTATGCTCAATGGCAAAGAGACAACGCCAACAAACAAAGTGCCGTTCATTCAATCTTTTGCGGCGAAAGCAAGAAGAGCTTGCAAGACCAAAAAATATTAAAACACACATACACATGAACATTAGACAGCTTACACATACGAATGCATCTGCCTATGTGTCATGTGCAGAATGCAAGTGTATTGTTTTTAGATCGGCTCCCAAAAAAAGCGCTTAACTAGAAATTAAGTGAAAAACAAAGAGCAATACTAATTTTTTGTTTTTAATTGAGTAAATTATATAACTATAAACAAAAAATATGATAATTTAATAAATGCTGATAAATCAGAATACAATATCTATATTTAGATTTATATATTATAAATGTGTAATCGTGTCTGGCTCTAATGGAAATCGGTTAACTGATTGCGCATTGATTAGATGTAGCCCGAGTTGTTTTAAAGGTGTTTAATCGACATTCGCTGTTCGAAAAAGTTTCGCCGCACTGAAAGTGCTTTCTCTTTGGCATTGTTAATAATAAAAGAATACAATTTAATAAAATGAACTCGATTTTTGATCAAAATAAAAACGTTGAAGTGAATTTGTCAAAAATATCGATATAAATATATAATAAATATCATTTAATTATTTTTCGATGAATGCAGAAAGTGTGACTAAACTTCTATGATAAAAAAGAAAAAGCTAACTGAAAGCAGTGCAAAGTGCAAAGCAAAAGAAGTGCAAAAATTAGTGATATTCCATAAGAAAAAGAATAATATATAAATGGATCGTGCTGTACAACCGGAAGCAGTGTCATCCACAATGGAGACAACGGCGCCGGACCTTAATCGCGGAGATGTGTCCCGCAAGAGCGTTCGCGTTTATGCAGCACGCAAAGGTTTGGCACCAGCGCCGCCCAAGCCAGGGCTGGCTACAAGCAGCACCACCACCAGCAGCAGCAGCAACAATACCAACAACACCAATAATAATAGTGAAAATAAGAACAACAACAATAACAACAATAGCAGTGATAGCGATAACTTGCCCCAGCAGCAGCCTCAGAGAAGGCAAGAGTTTGCCAACAGCTCAACAATGACTGCTAAGGAAATCGATCTCAGCGATGCACAGCATGTGGACTTTGATGCCATCGTCGAATTGCGTCGGCCAGGTGATATAGCAGTGCCGCCGCCACGCGTTGCCGTTTCAGCGATGCCAGCGCTACACCTGCAGAGCCAGAGCCGGCCAAAGGTGGCGCCACGTGTTCAAATGTCCGACGAGGATGATGTGGGCGTTGCTTTCGCTTTGGGCTCCATTGAGAAGCACATACTCAATGTGGAGGAGAGTTTCAAGCAGCAGCAGCTCAGTGAGCAGCAGCAGGAGCAGCAGGATCAGTCTCAGTCCACCATGGACGTGGTCATACGCAAGCAAAGTAAGCGCTACGGCGAGACAGAGAACTTGTTGCGGCCCGGCATCAGCGATATGTCGTCCGAGAATGACTTTCAGTATCTGGGCGGTCGTCGGAACAATCTGGACGATAGCAACGAGCAGATGATGACAGAGTTTCAGCGTGGCAGCGATGGACGCAATTCAATTGGTGCCTATTCCAAGAACTCCTCGGGCACGGTGAGTGGTCGATCGGGCGGCCTGAAGGCCAAGCTCGCACGCACTGCTTCGGATACGAAGAACACGGACACGGTGCTGGCTATGCGTGCCAATCTGAAACAGAAGGAGCATCAGCATCACGATGCCAACAAGCAGCAGCAGCAGCTGCAACAGCCGCCCTGGCGACCGGCCAACAGTCAAGATCGTCCGGCTCCGACGCCAGCTGTTAGAACCTCGGCGAGCAGGGGCAGCAGCAGCTCGAGCGTTGTGGACGGAGGCTCTTCCTCCAAGCTGACAGCGACCACGATTTCGGCCAGCAAGCGGCGCGAAGAGAATTTGCGTCAATTTGAGGCGCTGCTGGCACAGAAATCATCGCATCGTCATGGAGCAAGTGCAGCGACATCGGGCAGTCATGCGACAACGGCTGCCTCTTCAGTCCATGCAGCGGTATCGAAACGTCGCTCGGAACGTCCCGTTGTAACACCCATACCGCCGTACAGCTCTGGCCGCGCTGATGCTGGACCGCCGCCCGTCGAGCCGCGAGCCCCCAGCTCCGGGGCTGGACACCAACGAACGTCAGCTACCAATGCAGCTGTCACACGTACCAATGTATACGGCAACAGTGTTGCTCAGGTAAACCCATCTAAAGTGCAGTTCAAATACATTTACGAACCTGTTGCAACTACCTTTGAATACCTCAGGGGCGGGCGACTATAGCTCATAATATTCCATTGAAAGATCCACCTAAATTGACAGTTTTATATGAAACTAATTTGTGTTTTTGATTCGTCTCTTTTTGCAGGGATCCCCGAATCTGCAGATGCGAAGCAGTGCTCCGATGCGATGGCGTGCCACTGAAGAGCATATCGGAAAATATAAGCTCATCAAGACGATCGGAAAGGGAAACTTTGCCAAAGTCAAACTAGCAAAGCATCTGCCCACTGGCAAGGAAGTAGCAATAAAAATAATTGACAAAACCCAATTAAATCCTGGGTCACTTCAGAAACTCTTTAGAGAGGTAAGCA